CTTATTATTCAACTATAATGTTGCAATCCATCTCTAACACTTGTAAGAATTTGTCAGCTTAATCCTTTTTAAAAGAGGATGCAAGCAGGGGATAAAAGAACGAATTCTAGCGAATTCTCGGAAAATTCACACAGATTGAATTTTTGATAAGGAGCCTGTTAAGTAGTTACATTAATATACCTTTTTAATTCATATTGTAACATTAACTTATGTATGTATAATATGGTCTACAATTGAAGCTATCAAGGAGTATAAATAGGACCGAATTGTTCTAGCATATCAACATAACTATCAATAAATTCACTTGCTAATTTTTGTGGTTATCTTAGTTTGTAGTCAACAATTTGGCTCAAGAAACTTGTATATGAATGCGGACAACCATTCGTCTATAATCAGTTTTCTTGATAGAAAAATAAAAGTTGCCAATATTTCATAGGATCTAATTAGACTACCCACTCCAATTCAAAACTCTAGAAGATATGCTATAAAAAATTCAATAGGAATAAGTTCTGAAGCCTTAGTTCAATTTAGCGATTTAGAAAAGCTATGAATAAATAATGAATTAGTATATACTCAATGAGAAACTGTCACAAACCTACTTGGCATTTGATACCATGATGGTGACTCCACCCGGATATATCATCTGAAGTTTAAGCAAAGCTATACATAATATAGTTTTATTGTCCTTTTATAGAGAAGAGAAACTACGCGAATCAGGGGAGCAGGTAAGAATAGGTAAGCTCAAAAACTGAATTCGTTCACAAATATAGAATTATCAGTGTGTGGAAAGACTAAAACCAGGTAGGTTTAGCAGCATTAAGATAATTTTTAACAATGAAACGAGGAGATATTAGTCCTGAAAGGATGCTATCTTGCCTAGTATATCAGAAACACAAGGAAAACTAGAAATTGAATCATAATAGAATCATAAACCTACCCACACATTTGTTGGTTTCTGTATTGAAAACGTAGCCAGGCAAACAGATAATGCCAGTTAGCTCATGTTTGATACATTTTTGTGTCTTCTTGTCCATAATCATGCTCCTTGGGCACCCAACCAGAATGCGCGTACAAATTCCTTTATCAGCGTTCCATTCATAATCATCATCGCAAAGCTCATTTTCTGTTGTATTTAGTGCCAGATCATCCTGACCCAATTCATTTCCCATGACAGTGCTGTCGATACTGCTGCGCTTTTGTTCATCTTTATTGAGTGTACTCATTGAGTCTTCCTGAGTGACGATTACTGAAGAATTTGATGCTATTACTGAATCCAAGGGGGTCATTCTAATTTCTGGTAGGCTTGCAGAGGCCATGGAATTGCTGTACTGGTCATCCGTTAGGGAAGTATTTAAGCTAGGGGTAGACTCATTCTTGAGTTCTTGAGCCAACATTTTTGTCTCTACATCATGGTGCGGTGCTTCAGAAGGCAACTCACGAGATTGCCTTTGAAAAAAAACAGCTCCAGTTGGAGCAAGAGCTTCGCGTGATTTGAATCGGATTGGATGCGATGCAAAATCTTTGGAAT